GAGCATTGTTATTATAGCTACGTTTTCAGTTGCACTGGATAATTATCAAGATAATTGCTTATCAATAATTATTATCATCGATAGTAACGTGTAACATCACTATAAAATATACAGTTTCTATAAGTGTCGCCGAACACGGGCCACACGCCACAGCCACAAACGCTGCCACGAGAAGCTAGAAGCGGCTACTAAAGTGGCTGAAGCGCGCGATAGCAGCCGACTAAGGCAAGGGAGAGAGGGGTGGGGAATCGCGCGAGTGACGTGTTGTGGCGGGTTGTATCGGCGCATTAAGTGGCCGGTGCGGGCACTGCCGGATTTAGGGGAGGGCAACCGGGGCGAAAGCCCCGGGGCCTCCACAAACGGGGGCCCCCCATAATAGAGACTTCGGAAAAAAAAAAACTTTCAAATTCCAACTAGTAAACACTAGTAAACATCTTTTCCTTTGATATTTTTTTTTTGCTCTTTTACATTTACCTACAGCCTACAGTACTTTGTACATCTAACATCCATGATTATTCAGGGCCAAATTTAAGGCAGGGCAGGTGGGGCTGTGGCCCAGGGGCCTCCACAATAGCTTAAGAAATAACAACATTTCGATGGGTCAACAAGCGTGCAAATCCTAAGTGGCCCGGGGCCTCCACAACAGGATAAAAGAACAAAATTTCGATGGGTTAACAAGCATACTAATCCTAAGTGGCCCGGGGCCTTCACAATCCTAAATCCGGCCCTGGGTGCGGGCCACAAGAAGCGAGCAACGACGAGAACGGCGTGTGGCGGCCACCGGCGTATAGTGTGTGGCGAGTCCATATAAAATGTATGACATCTACAAGAAATATGCCGGTGGCGGCGTTTTGTGGTTGTGGTCGGTGGCCCGTGTGCGGCGACACAAAGTCGCGGCACGAAACTCTAGCTTTGACCGTTATTGTGCAGAAGTAAAAATGAAGATGTCTTGGGGGGAAACGAGGTGCGCGGGTGGGCGTGCGATGCGCCGATTGGCTCTCCAGTCGTGCCCATGCGCAGCTATCCCCTCCGCGTTTTGTTCAGTGCTATAGTTAGTGCCGCGACCTGTAACTCCGAGGACGTGGATGACATTCCATTGATTTTATTGGCCAAAAATGTGAGATCAAAATAAATTCTAAAAGCAGAAGCACGGCAATAAACTAATAGTATGATTAAGAATACAAAACATTAATTGATTACATAGATTTGACGACCTCCGTGGCCGAGTGGTTTGTACGCCGGGTTTCATGGTGTCGCCGACTCGAGAGGTCCCGGGTTCGAATCGCGGTGGGGCCAGATGTTTTTGTGATGAATACAAGCATTTGTACTCCAGTCATGGATGTTTAATATGTATTTCTATATAAATATACTAATATATGTACAGTACATGTATTCTATCCGTTACCCTAGCATCCCATAACACAAGCCTTATAGTGCTTACTTTGGGGCTAGGCTAATTGGTGTGAGTGTTGGAAATATTTATTTATTTATAATACTAATTTTATAATTAATGTGATTTTATAATAAATCAAAAAGAATATAAAAGCATTTTTTGTTTAATAATATTATAGATACGAAAAAATACAAAATACTTTTATTTTTACGCATAAATTTAATTACCCAGGGCTGGATAATCTAAAATATAAAAATGAATCGCTGAATGTGTTGCTAAGCGCAAATCTCGAGAACAGCTGAACCGATAACAATAATTCTTTTTTTTAAATATTCCTTGAAGTTCGAGGATGGTTCTTACGCAAAGAAAATTAAAAAATAATGCATAAAAAAGTCCAAAAACAACACTTTTCTATACTCCCATACAAACGATTCGTATTAATACTTAAAAGTCAATTTGAACTTTAATACCATACCATAAATTTCAAATGTTCGTGGAGAGGTTCCGGGAAGGCAAAAAAAAAATAGTGACGTGATGTCAATAGAAGTTTGGAAAAGGCAAATATACCATTTTCAGTTTTTTTTTATAATTATATGAAGAGTAATTTAAGTCTACACTACAGCTCTACATCGAAGCGAAGCGAGGGCGGGCCACTAGTTATCCATGAAAATAATCATCTCGATAATAGCAACTCTGTTTTATATACATTCTTAATGGTCGCATAAAACCATTAAAATGAATTTTATACTGCTTCCATTTTATGCAAACACTAATACGAGAAATATAGGCAATTATAGTTTGTGAAGTTAGTGGATTTGTGAACATTTTAATTGCCTGATGCCGAGCACGGGGATATTGAAAAATACAATGAACAAAGATAAAGTGTTGAAGAAACGCCACTCTGTCATATCTGGGAGGAGTGAAATTTGTAAGTTGAGTTTTTCTTTTAATGTGAAACTTTTTTTCATAATAGGGTATTTGACAGTATTAAAAATCAAGTGCCAATTGTTAGCATCTGTGCTTAGAATGAATATTGTCACGGGTTTTTACTATTTTTACAAAAAAAAAATAATTTTACTAAAAACCCACGAAAAAGATAATAGTTTTCTTATCTATTGTCCCGTGACCCAAAACGCTTGGGATTGGTGGAGACTAAAATGACGTCACACGCAAGTAAACTTCCGGTTAAAGTGACATTACATTGTATCGTTTGACGTTTTAATAACAGTCGTGTGACGTCACACACTAGTAAGACGCCATATTGTCCAGAAAAACGTTTTCGCGGCGAATTGAAAATGGAGTATTTGATTTGATTATTTTTACTGAAATACACAACAGTATGATGAATATCCTTTTACGGATTCCATAAACATAAGTCAATAACGTGACATCGTTTTCTAAAACTTGTCAAATACCCTTATTAATGGTCATCTTTATCATGTCGCATTACATTTTTAAATGTTTTACAAAAAAATTTGACCTTTCCAACAAACATCGGTGGTTCAGTGGTAGAAACTTCGCCGGTGCGCGGCTAGCGGGTGGTGGTATTACGGGATCCCGAAATACCGGTATTGAAAGCCCTAAGCCAAGTGAAATGCCGGCATAAGACAGAAATAGTGGTGTCGATTCTGGCATGAATCTCTAAACTTGAAGAGCCCTATTACATTTTTTGCAAAAAAACGTAATTTGTGAGCACCTCGTTTACCCCCTTAGAAAAGATTTTGACTTTTTCCAATTGAATTAAACAGTAGATTTATTCTTCCTTTTGTAAGTTAAGAGAGACTGATGTTAAATTTAGTTTTAAGTTTAGAATGATGTCGATTCTGGCATGCTTCTCTAAACCTAAACTTAAATTTGACAACAGTGCATCCTTGTCCTTCTCTATACAGAATGAAAAGGTGGGACTGACCTTTAATTTAGTTTTAAGTTTAGAGATGCACGCCAGAATTGACACCAGTGTCATGCCAGAATTAACGCGCGCTACACAACCACAGCGCCGAAACTTCATGAATTTTAAGTTCTTATGACTCCCCATGGTTTCAGAATCTTTTATAGAGGATTCATATCATGGGTGCAGATGAAGTCTTGTATGCAACTGTTATAATAATAATAATTTTCTTTATTTTTTCTCTCACATAACAGTACATTATTAACATAACCTTAATACATATATCTAGTTATGTGAGAGACTGGCGTCTATACTAGGAGACCTGTAATACAGATTACCAGTCTCTCCAATTCCGAACCGTTTAAAAGGAACTCAAATACATTATAAGTTTTTAAGTGAAATCATCATCATCATCATCATCATCAGCCTCTTAATGTCCCCACTGCTGGGGCACAGGCCTTCCCTATGGATGGAATAGGGAGATTGGGCCATGACCCACCACGCGGGTCCAGTGCGGATTGGCGGGTGCTAACGACTGCAGATGCAACCGGGACCAACGGTTTCTTCTTTCAAATGTTTAATACTTGTAAAAGTATTCATTTAACATTGTGGGTTACCTATAATGCGAAGAGATGGCGCTTAAGAATGGCTAGAAGAATTTTGATGCGGTCCGTGAGGGCCGCGGTAGCATAATTGGTCAGTGCATTCGCCCGGATTGCGAAGGGTGCGGGTTCGAGTGCCGTCTGCTGCCTGGTTCGCGTGGAATTTTTTCTAGTTATATTTTCTTTAGATTTAAACATCAAGCAGTTACATGCTTTAAAATAATAAAAAATATAAATAAGAGCCTATATAATCAAAGAACCTTCTTGAAAAGGCAGTTGTAATTAGGTATTAAAACACTCATTTGATTCTCTGCAGATTAAATCCACATTCGCGTTTTAATACTCATTATACAACAGTTTCATAAGTAGCTATAACATAACCCCTGAGTTTGTTTCGCTAGTTCTTCTCAGAAGGTCGAAAACATAAAGTTAAACAACATTACTAAACAAATAATAATTATTTGTTTATTCAAACTTAATGCTAGCACTTCACGACGCTATTTGAATTTGCAGTAATATAATTTTACAGGAGAGTTTAATTTTTGAGGAGTTTGATAGCGTGGGTGGTTAGCGCGTTCGATTGCGATTGCTGAAGTTAAGCAACTGTAGCAGTGGTCGGTCATTGGATGGGTGATCAAAAATCTTATATTTCGAGTTCCTCCGCGCTTCGGAAGGCACGTTAAGCCGTTGGTCCCGGCAGCATCTGCAGTCGTTATCATCCGCCAAACCGCACTGGGCCCGCGTGGTGGGTCATGGCCCAATCTCCCTATTCCATCCATAGGGAAGGTCTGTGCCCCAGCAGTGGAGACATTAATAGGCCGATGATGATGATAATTTTACAGAAGTACCTACACTTAAATAAGTAAATCATGCACTTTATGATATGAATTAAGCGCCTTTTATCGTAAGTATATACCATGGCGAGTATTCTGAGGAGTTATTCTCCATTATTCCACCTTCCACTTTCCTTCAGAAAACCACCTTCAGGATCCAACCTCATGAGAACGCGACACCATACCTGCCAGTTTCATATAGTTCTTTTTTTAACTCAAAGGTGTGCCTAAAAATATGTGAGTTTCATTTTTTCATTTTTCATAATTCGTCCTCCTTGCTCCAGGGTCATCATCCGACGAAGATGAAGGAGTCCAACCGCACGAGAAGGCAATCGCCGCGGGCCAAGCCAACCCTCCTTACTGCGTCAGGAACATTGAGCAGCATGCGTTTGGCAGACGGGAAATAGAGATAGCGGAACAAGAGATGCCGGGAATTATGGCTTTGAAGGCGCGAGCGAAGGAAGATAAACCTTTGAAAGACGCTAAGGTGAATATCAGAGTATTGTTAATCGACTTAGGCAGAATTTAAAAGGTCTCATTACACCAGATTTTAGCCTTAATATGTAACTAACCGGACCATTGCTAAAGAACCGCTGTTGTGACCGCTTACCATCATCATCATCAACAGCCCATCTTAGTCCACTGCTGGACATAAGTCTCTCCAAATGCACGCCACTCAGATCAGTCTATTGTGGTGGCCTCCTGTAGCCCGGAGATTCATGGCACCCCCCGCCCCGCCGTTGCCGTGGTCACCACCGTGACCAGGAATAGCGGGGCCGCCGGGAACTGGGGGCCGTGGCTTGTGTTTTCTATACATTTGAGGTCTTGCCCATAATCGCCACGCTGGGCAGGCGGGTTGGCGATCGCAGAACGTAGGTTAATTCACTGATGACGTTGCTGCCCGTTACCAGTGAGATTTCCCTCCCCTACGTAGTTGGATGGTTATACCGCGATCGGTCGGTTTGCCAGAGCCTTGTCTGTTGGTCAACAGGGTGCACCACGTGAAGGTGAGGTTGGCTTGGGTTCTTGCAGGTGTATTTAGAACCCCTTACACCCCGCTTACCATCAGGCGTGTCGTATGCGTGTTTACTCCACCCCACCTGATGGGACAAGTTGCTAACCCCCATAGTGCGTTAGGAACATTCAGCAGCACGCGTTTGGTAGGCGGGAGATAGAGATAGCGGAACAGGAGATGCCGGGAATCATGGCTATGAAGGCGCGAGCGAAGGAGTATAAGTCTTTGAAACGCTCTTAGGTAAATATTAGACTATTATTAATCGACTTAGCCAGAAGTTAAAAGGTCTTATTACATCAGATTTTAGCCTTAATATATAACTCACTGGACCACCGGTAAATAATCGCTGTTGTGACAGCTTACCATCAGGCGGGTCTTATGCTTGTTTGTCACCCTCTTAAACCACCCACGTGTTGTTAAGTGTGAATAGAACTAGTTGCTAACCCCCGTACTGCGTCAGGAACATTGGGCAGCACGCGTTTGGCAGACTGGAGATAGAGATAGCGGTCCAGGAGATGCCGGGAATCATGCTTTTGAAGGCGCAAACGAAGGAGGATATTTCTATAAAATACATGGGCCGAGTGGAATTTTGGTTGATAATGATGATGAGGATTTTGTCATAAGTACATAAGTCTGTGGCACCAATGACCGACCTAATTTTTTTCAGTAATCAATTAAAATAACAGTAGGTATCCGATTACTTAATATGGTTACACTGATCGTCTATATCTCGGAGTTATCACATCTTATTTTTTATGAAAACAGAACAAAATATATTGTTCTTGTAAGTACCTTACATATTTTATTGAATTGAAACTTCTTTACGCACGCTTGACTTGGGGGGTAAGCTGGCGAATGCGTTACGCGTTACGAAAAGTGTGTTCAGGCGAGGCAAACGGGAGTTGAGTGGGGGATAAAAACGACAACTGGAGCGTTCAGTCTCTCAGCACCTGGGACACTGATGTTAGTTTGACCCTATATTTGGTGGCGTAGCTTTACCAAACTGTTTTCCATATATTTTCAGATCGTAGGCTGCACACACATTAATGCGCAAACAGCGGTGCTGATTGAAACGCTGGCCGCGCTTGGTGCGACCGTGCGCTGGGCTGCTTGCAACATTTACAGCACTCAGAACGAGGTGGCGGCCGCTTTAGCGCACGCTGGTGAGTACACATTAAAAGTACCTATAGATCGTGCTCAAGGGGGGGGGGGGGTCATGGGGGTCATGACCCCCCCCTGGGCTGGGTACAGATGGACCAAACCCAGGGGGATTTTATTACTACTTTCAAATTACTTTCAATATTTAATATACCACGACTATATGACCCCCCCCCCCTAGCGCCAAAGCTGGCTATATGACCCCCCCCTGGCGCTAAAGCTGGATCCGCCCTTGATCGTGCTGCACACACATTATAGTCATCATCAGCGTATTACTGTCCCCACCACTGGGGCACAGGCCTTCCCTTTTGATGGAATAGGGAGATTGGGATAGGACCCACTACGCGAGCCCATCTGCTTCTTAGTCAAAATGATGTGTTGGACATTATTGTAGCATTGCCTTCTTGCGTTTTAGGCATTGTGCTCATAATCGTAATTTTCTAATGTAATAGGTTTCGCCATATTCGCGTGGTGCGGCGAGAGTGAGGAAGTGTTCTGGTGGTGCATAGAGTAGTGCTGCGCGCCCTTTTAGGTGTTAGTGCAGCAGGGGCATCTTTCGTTTTAGGCAATCTGCTTCTTAGTCAAAATGATGTGTTAGGCATTATTGTAGCATTGCCTTCTTGCATTTTAGGCGTTGTGCTCATAATCGTAATTATTTACTGTAATAGGTTTCGCCATATTCGCGTGGCGCGGCGAGAGTGAAGAAGCGTTCTGGTGCTGCATAGAGCAGTACTGCGCGCCCTTTTAGGTGTTTTAGGCAATCTGCTTCTTAGTCAAAATGATGTGTTAGGCATTATTGTAGCATTGCCTTCTTGCATTTTAGGCATTGTGCTCATAATCGTAATTTTCTACTGTAATAGGTTTCGCCATATTCGAGTGTCGCGGTGAGAGTGAGAAACGGTTCTGGTGGTGCATAGAGCAGTGCTGCGCGCCCTTTTAGGTGTTAGTGCAGCAGAGGCATCTTTAGTCTCAGGCAATCTGCTTCTTAGTTAAAACGATCTGTTTGGATTGGTATTTAGATTAAAACAAAAAGGGAAGATACGGTACGCTCATACTAGCAATAAATAAAATATGATCCGACTCAACTACATAAGCAACTCTCACACACTGTGCGTGTATATAAACATTCAACCGAGCGAGCGAGACAGAACTGTACGCTTCAACGCTGCATGAGCGAAACAGCGAGTCTGCTTACGAGTCTCTACGGCTGAACTGTATTGTTGTCCTTTTCTTGATAACAAAATGGCGATTACGTACAAACCATTCACGACATACCGTGATCTTTGAGGAAAAATATGTTTTTACAGTTTTACGAATGCAAAGTGTTGCCGAGGAATTTGTTATTTGAATTTGAACTATTTGTTTTCTTTCTAAAAGCATCGAAGGCATCGTTTTGTCTTTATAACACAAAATATACGCAATATTGCGAATGCACTGACCGCGAGTGCTGTATCTCCCCTTTTTGTTTTTATCTAAGGTAAGGCAATATTAAAATGCAAGAAGGCAATGCTACACATTGCCTTTTTGCATTTTCTTAGACAAATGATGTGTTAGGCATTATTGTAGCATTGCCTTCTTGCATTTTAGGCATTGTGCTCATAATCGTAATTTTCTACTGTAATAGGTTTCGCCATATTCGCGTGGCGCGGCGAGAGTGAGAAACCGTTCTGGTGGTGCATAGAGCAGTGCTGCGCGCCCTTTTAGGTGTTAGTGCAGCAGGGGTATCTTTCGTTTTAGGCAATCTGCTTCCAGGCGCGGTCCGAAGGGGGTGGGGGCCACAGGGGACATGACCCCCCCCAAAATCTAAGGTCAAATTGAAAAATCTTGTGTCAAAAAGTGTCTTGTGGAATAATGTTTATTTTATTCCTCTTTTTTTTATTACTGTAGTGAGTGACCCCCTCCAAAATTTCAGGCTGCGACCGCACCTGTCAGCTTCTTATACAAAATGATGTATTAGGCATTATTGTAGCATTGCCTTCTTGCATTTTGGGCATTGTGCTCATAATCGTAATTTTCTGTTCTAATAGGTTTCGCCATATTCGCGTGGCGCGGCGAGAGTGAAGAAGCGTTTTGGTGGTGCATAGAGCAGTGCTGTGCGCCTAACGCCGCCTGGCAGCCCAACATGATACTGGACGACGGCGGCGACGCCACACATCTGATGCTTAAGAAACACGCGCAGGCATTCAAGCACATCAAGGGTGAGGAGTTCTCATTATAACCCATAATAAATTGAGTCTAAACACTAGACAAAGGTTGACTTCTTTTAAGAGTATAAGGTTTTGGGTTTGGTTGGTGTCTATAGCCGAATATGATACTGGACGACAACGGCGACGCAACGCATCTCATGCTCAAGAAACACGCGCAGGCATTCAAGCACATCAAGGGTGAGGAGTTGTCATTATAACCCATAATAAATTGAGTCTAAACACTAGACAAAGGTTAACTTCTTTTAAGAGTATAAAGTTTTGGGTGTGATTGGTGGCTATAGCTGTATATGATACTGGACTACGGCAAAGAGGCCACGAATCTGATGCTCATGAAACATGCGCAGGCATTCAAGCACATCAAGGGTGAGGAGTTCTCATTATAACCAATAATAAATTGAGTCTAAACACTAGACAAAGGTTGACTTCTTTTAAGAGTATAAGGTTTTGGGTTTGGTTGGTGTCTATAGCCGAATATGATACTGGACGACAACGGCGACGCAACGCATCTCATGCTCAAGAAACACGCGCAGGCATTCAAGCACATCAAGGGTGAGGAGTTGTCATTATAACCCATAATAAATTGAGTCTAAACACTAGACAAAGGTTAACTTCTTTTAAGAGTATAAAGTTTTGGGTGTGATTGGTGGCTATAGCTGTATATGATACTGGACTACGGCGACGAGGCCACGAATCTGATGCTCATGAAACATGCGCAGGCATTCAAGCACATCAAGGGTGAGGAGTTGTCATTATAACCAATAATAAATTGAGTCTAAACACTAGACAACGGTTGATTTCTTTTAAGAGTATAAGGTTTTGGGTTTGATTGATGGCTATAGCTGTATATGATACTGGACGACGGCGACGAGGCCACGAATCTGATGCTCAAGAAACATGCGCAGGCATTCAAGCACATCAAGGGTGAGGAGTTGTCATTATAACCCATAATAAATTGAGTCTAAACACTAGACAAAGGTTGATTTCTTTTAAGAGAATAAGGTTTTGGGTGGCATTCATATCTATAGCCGAATATGATGCTGGACTATGGCGGCGACGGCGACGCCACATATCTCATGCTCAAGAAACACGCGCAAGCATTTAAGCACATCAAGGGTGAAGAGTTATCATTATAAAAGTATAAAGATTTTGCAACTCAAACTTCACGGTGTATATGAATATACACGGTGTATATTAAAAAGGTAAACTGTTACATCCTCATCATCCGATCCTAAGGGGATTCACAGGAGACATGCCCCAAACGGTCAACAACTAGTCCATATACACCGTGAATTTTGAGTTACCTGAGGAACTTTACGGTACGACAACGATTAACGGTTATATTACTGCAAATAACCCTTTTTTTTTCGAAAAATGTCTCCACATTATTCCACCAATTCTGCAGTTATGAATCCTTAGCAATTTAAATTATCATCATTTAATTAAAAAAAACTCGGCTTTTAGGACTTTTATTTTAAACAGATAATAATTACAAATAGGCGCCGTTTTTGGATTTTTATTTTGACATAAAATTTAAGTTTCGATGTAAATTTATAAATGCAATCAATAGGGATGATGACTATTTTTTTTTTCTTCCTTTATCAGGTAGATTATCAAAAAGTATTGGACACGTGTTTTTTCTTTTTTAGAGATATATTGATTTGAAAAGTCGCATGACGTCACGTTTGAGTACACTTATAAGGGAAAATTCACTCAAAAGTGACGTCACGAGCCCCTACTCCCAAACTTTGATGCGCTATAACTTTGTCATTTTTTGGTTGATTGCCCAAAGAAAAAATACGTGTCCATTATTTTTTGATCATCTAACTGACGGACTAAATAGAATTTCGTTTACTTTACCCCGTCATCACCCCTAATCCGATTCAATCTACTGCTGACTACCGTCACACCTGGCGCCCAACGTGGGACCTAAAGCATAATGGTTCTTTTCTCTCCACAGGTATAGTGGAAGAGAGTGTGACCGGGGTTCATAGACTATACCAGTTGAGCAAAGCCAACAAGCTATGCGTCCCCGCCATGAACGTAAACGATTCTGTAACGAAGACTAAGTTCGATAACTTGTATTCGTGTCGGTGAGTATCATCGGACTTATTTAATAATAAATTAATTAATATGACGACCTCCGTGGCCGAGTGGTTTTCAAGGTGTCGCCTACTCGAGAGGTCCCGGGTTCGAATCCCAGTGGGGGCAGATGTTTGTGCGATGAATACGAGCATTTGTACTCCAGTCCTGGATGTTTAATATGTATTTCTATATAAATATTATACTTACATGTACTGTATATGTATTCTATCCTTTACCCTAGTATCCCATAACACAAGCCTTACAGTGCTTACTTTGGGGCTAGGCTAATTGGTGTAAGTGTTGGAAATATTTATTTATTTATTTAATATTCTCAATTCGCCAATCTCTTGACTGTGCTTGTTACTTTGAGCGGGCTCAAGCAGCAGATATAATTTTGTGTCGATCTGCAATAAGTATATTAGTGTCTATTTTGATCGAAATTGTGGATATGTTTCTTTTTTTTTCCTTGTATCTACTCTGTTAATTTTCACGTATGCTGTGTTTGCCGTAATATTATAATGAAACTATTTAGATATATGATACCACCGTGTATGTTAAGATTGTTACAATGTTTTTGATTCTGGCGAACCTTATAAATAAATAAAAATTTTGTAACACATGCACACAAAGGACAATGGCGAAATATTTGTTGAAGTAAATCTTTAGCGTCTATAGATGTCATTATCAGAAATGTTAATTAAATAATCTCAAAAGATTTATTGAATAATTGAGGAGGATTGTCTAAGTCTGGAAATAAAAACATAATAAAGGGAAACACAATTGACTATTTTTTTTATTGCGGCTTGGGAACATGGCTTTTGAGCCATTTCGAATTGTTGTTGTTATCATTGTCGTTGCTTGTATTGCAAAGATTTAAATCGGCGTAGTATGTTTTTTTCTGAGATATGTTTTTTTTATGTGACTTGGACTGCTTTTGGACTTTCGAGATCTTCCCCTGCGACTGTTGAGTAGTGCTTGCCTAAGACTAAGAATCTGATATTTTGGTCGACTTCTTCTGTGGATTTTGGACAAGATTCTGTCGCATTCTGTGGATTTTATTTCATTGTATCTACTAAGTATCTATGATATTGTGATCAAAAAAGATGTGTGTGTGAAAATATATAAAAAGTGTTTCATATTTAATTAATATCCCATTAGAACACTATTAGAAGTCCTTTTTTATGCTATAATATTGCTCACGGGCATTTTCGAATTGTTAAGTACTTTTTACAGCACAGACATTGTATTCGAACTCAATAACCCTTGTTTTTTAAGTATTACTAAGTATTTTGACGCGGTCAGTTAGTACCTACCTTCCCGCCCACTGATCACACATTTTAAAAATAATTTTTGGTCACTATTCTACGGGACCAGTATATTTCTATAGTTCTGTTCAGCGTATTTTTTATTTTGATCTAAAAATAGTCTTGAAAATACTTTTATAAATCGTTTTTGTATTACTTGGTATGACATAACCTCCAAAACTTCAAAGTAGAATATCTATAAATCCAGACTACTACAAAAACAGAAATAAGACGAAACAAATCGAGAATCTAAACTCTATCATTTAACATGCAATTTATTTATAGGCGCAAAAAAATTTTCAACAAAAAATTGTATGGGATTTCGCCATTGTCCTTTACGCTTTTACCCCAAATTTTATTTTTTCATTTCTATAAAACAGGGTATCTGGTGACTCACAGCAATTTATTAGGTTAAACAAAACAGCAATTTACCCTAATCCCAAAGTCAAAACTGTCCCTCTTATTATTAAACTAGGAATAAGCTTAGGCTAGTTACACCTTGTTTTGTTCTGTAGAAAGGGCACAGGGGAAGATCTTCCTCCGAGCTGGATGATGGTAGCTCGGGGGCCGCGGCATGACTGATGTTGGTCGGGCATTGTATATATGGAGTGTAGGCATCCGAATTTCACTTGCGCGATGTAGGCTTCCATAAGTATTGATCGCAGCGTCGGTAGCGCCATCTATTCAGGAGGCGAGTGATTATTTCCTCCAGCCGTTGAATATACAATAAATGGGGTAAATAAATTATGTTTAACATTATGTCTTATCGCTAAAAGCGATTTCTTCCAGACAACCTTTATATGTGGGGCATATAGATTTCGCCGCCACAGTTCATATCACTCAAATGCCATTTGTCATTCTAGTTTAACTAGTATATGACTTGTTTTTTGTGTGTAAACGAGGGGTTATACTACTTCCGCATAAATCACTATTATTTTTGACAGGGAAAGTATAATTGACGCGTTGAAAAGGAGCACGGATTTAATGTTTGGCGGGAAACAGTCTGTCGTTTGCGGCTACGGGGAAGTTGGCAAGGGGTGTTGCCAGGCTTTGAAAGCTTTAGGATGTGTGGTGAGTGGAACCAATACTTATTTTTTTTATTATAATTTTTTTAAGAAAACATCAGGTAATGCAGCATTATGTCTCAAATGTTTTACACTGAAGGTCATTAGATATATATAATACTAGCGGCCCGCCCTCGCTTCGCTTCGGTGTAGAGCTGAAGTGTAGACTACAGTTTTTGTTCTCAGGCTTGTATTATACACGATGACATTCATCTATGATTCTTCTTATACCAGCATGCAAAGTCTCAGCCCGATCGGTTTAAAATTGACAAAGTTTCATACAAACTTTCATTCCCTATTTTATCCCCTTGGGGGTAGAATTGATTAAAATCCTTTCTTAGCGGATGCCTACGACATAACATCTACCTGCATGCCAAATTTCAGCCCGATCCGTCCAGTGGTTTGGGCTGTGCGTTGATGGATCACTATGTCAGTCAGTGACCTTTGAGTTTTATATATATAGATAATTAATATTGCTACTAAGCAGTTTCACTTTATCCATTTCATTTCATCTTTAAGTGGCGTAAACAATAATTAAACATATATCCATTTTCAATATTGTTGTTTTTGTGTTATTTTTGCAGGTGTATGTCACAGAAATCGATCCGATCTGCGCGCTACAAGCGGCCATGGACGGTTTCAGAGTCGTGAAATTAAACGAAGTAAGTCTCAGTTTTTTTTTGTCTTCAGGCAATGGAGTATACCAATAGACACCATAATAGAGTATAGTCCACTTATCTATAAATACATAAAAAAAAATCCCTTGGTCATCCCATAAAGTGTGACTTTACCAATCTCATCCATCTTTTTTATAAGTTTTCGAATACTTTTTTATTCCTGGTTCTCACAAAAAATGTAAAGAAATTTGAGCTGGATAAATATTTAAGACTAGTGGCCCGCCCTCGCTTCGCTTCGCTGTAGTGTAAACTATAGTTTTTGTTCTCAGACTTGTGCTATAAACAATGACTTTATTTATATAATAAGTATAGATTACACGTGTTATTGTGAGTCAACCATAAAAGATAGACATATGCTTTTGCGAGATATTTTTTAAACAATTTTATGTAGAATATTTTCGTCATACATGATTTCTATGTAACGTTAACCATTAAGGCTGCACACGCGACGGAAGCTTAAAACATGGAGTAACTTCTCCCGTTTTCCCAACATTTCCCTTCACTATTCTGCTGCTATTGATTGTAGCGTGATGAAAAGTATACTATAACCTGCCCAGGAGTATGAAGAATAATTGTACCAAGTTTCGTCAAAATCCGTCGAGTAGTTTTTGTTTCTATAAGGAACATACACACAGACAGACAGACAGACAGACAGACAAAAATTTTACTGATTGCATTTTTTGCATCAGTATCGATCACTAATCACCCCCTGATAGTTATTTTGAAAATATATTTCATGTACAGAATTGACCTCTCTACAGATTTATTATAAGTATAGATATAGATAATTTAACCTACTCTATACTCGATTAATATATATTGCACGCCACACAACGCGTAAGCGTGTGGGAGTGCTTTACTCTCGATAGGCCCCTATGGGACGATTTTACAATATAAAATCGCTCTCATCTCCCAAGTTAGACAATAAATCGATAAAAAATGGGTGTATGGAAAACTAGACGTTTTTTGATATATATAACAAAAAAGTGTAGTTAAAAAAATATTAGTACTGCTGTCCGTTGGTCTGTGCACTTGTTTGTCTGCACGTTTTAGAAAAATATACCCAATTAATTGTAATAAATCCTTATGAATTAATTTCCACTTACACTGAGGATGAACCCTATTTCTTATCATGATTGAACTGATGACCGTTTTAAAGATATTAATGAAATTCAATGGAATTTATTTACTGGGTTTCTGTTTCGTGAATGTGAGGCGTGCACTTTTGGATTTTCCATTTTTTTTATTTTTAAATTTTAAGCATTTAACTGCTAGATTTGTAAATCCACACGGTCTAGGGGGGCAACGAGATTGCCATGGCTATCGCTTTCATATTTTTATTTCTGATCGCTGAAGGTTATGAAATGCCTCTCGCTCGGTTTTTTCTTTTAGCATTGGAACTAAAAATATTAAAGAAAATGAGCTAAAGGTATTTGAAAAACTTTCGGGGGTCAGAAATAACAAAATAAAATCGTAAGCGATAGCGATAGCCAATGCAAACCCGTTGGGCAATTGACCCCCAGGGGGCTAATTGCCAAACTTAGGGGCAGGGGGGGCGGAACAACTTTTATAGGTCTGGTAATATTATAAATGTCTCTATCGTAGGTAATAAGGCAGGTGGACATCGTAATCACAGCCACTGGGAACAAAGGCGTAGTTACCCGAGAACACATGGAACGTATGAAGAACGGCTGCGTGGTATGCAACATGGGGCACAGCAACACTGAAATAGATGTGCACGCTTTAAGAACGCCCGATTTGCTGTGGGAACGAGTTAGAAGTCAGGTTGGTGGAATAACATATAATTATATAGATAAATAACGCCGTAGATTAGAAATTAAACTAGAAGTTTATAGGGCAACACTGCCAACATTAACACGCATACAAAAAACACGAAAATAATCAAAGATTGGGCGGATGCACTCGGATTAAAATCTCTGGGAACGCGGTAAGGTCGATGTAGAACGGTTACGTGGTCTGCAACATGGGACACAGCAACACTGAAATAGATGTGCACGCTTTAAGAATACCTGATCTGCTGTGGGAACCAGTTAGAAGTCAGGTTGGTGGAATAACATATAATTAAATAGATCAATAACGCGGTAGATTAGAAATAATACTAGAACTTTATAGGGCAACACTGCCAACATTAACACACATACAAAAAACACGAAAATGCTCTAAGATTAGACAGATGCACTCGGATTAAAATAACTGGAAACGTGGTAAGGTCGATGTAGAACGGTTACGTGGTCTGCAACATGGGACACAGCAACACTGAAATAGATATGCAAGCTTTAAGAATACCCGATCTGCTGTGGGAACGAGTTAGAAGTCAGGTTGGTGGAATAACATATAAATATATAGATAAATAACGCGGTAGATTAGAAATAATACTAGAACTTTATAGGGCAACACTGCCAACATTAACACGCATACAAAAAACACGAAAATGATCTAAGATTAGACGATGCACTCGGATTAAAATAACTGGAAACGCGGTAAGATCGATGTAGAACGGATACGTGGTCTGCAACATGGGGCACAGCAACACTGCAGTGGATGTGCACGCTTTAAGAATGCCTGATCTGTTGTGGGAAAGAGTTAGTAGTCAGGTTCGTAGAAAAACATATAAATATATAGATATGTAACGCTGTAGATTAGAAATAATATAAGAACTTTATAGGGCAACATTGCCTACAATAACAGATAAACACACAACACGAAAATGATCTAAGATTACACAGATGCACACGGATTAAAATAACTGGAAACGCGGTAAGGTCGATGTAGAACGGCTTCGTGGTCTGCAACATGGGGCACAGCAATACTGAAGTGGATGTCCATGCTTTAAGAACGCCCTATCTGCTGTGGGAACGAGTTAGAAGTCAGGTTGGTGGAAAAACATAAATAGATAGATATGTAACGCGGTAAATTAGAAATAAAATTAGAACTTTATAGGACAACACTGCCTACAATAACACGTATACACACAACACAAAAATAATCAGAGATTAGTCAGATGCATTCGGATTAAAATCACTGGAAACGCGGTCGTCATAAGGTCGATGTAGAACGGCTACGTGGTCTGCAACATGGGGCACAGCAATACTGAAGTGGATGTCCATGCTTTAAGAACGCCCTATCTGCTGTGGGAACGAGTTAGAAGTCAGGTTGGTGGAAAAACATAAATAGATAGATATGTAACTCGGTAAATTAGAAATAAAATTAGAACTTTATAGGACAACACTGCCTACAATAACACGTATACACACAACACGAAAATAATCAGAGATTAGTCAGATGCATTCGGATTAAAATCACTGGAAACGCGGTCGTCATAAGGTCGATGTAGAACGGCTACGTGGTCTGCAACATGGGGCACAGCAATACTGAAGTGGATGTCCATGCTTTAAGAACGCCCTATCTGCTGTGGGAACGAGTTAGAAGTCAGGTTGGTGGAAAAACATAAATTAGATAGATATGTAACGCGGTAAATTAGAAATAAAATTAGAACTTTATAGGACAACACTGCCTACAATAACACGTATACACACAACACGAAAATAATCAGAGATTAGTCAGATGCATTCGGATTAAAATCACTGGAAACGCGGTCGTCATAAGGTCGATGTAGAACGGCTACGTGGTCTGCAACATGGGGCACAGTAATACTGAAATGGATGTCCACGTTTTAAGAACGCCCTATCTGCTGTGGGAACAAGTTAGAAGTTAGGTTGGTGGATTATCATATAAATATACAGATCAATAACACGGTAGATTAGAAATAATACTAGAACTTTATACGGCAACATTTACACGCGTACGACTTTTTGGCGGGATTTCATCGAGTGCGGTTGGCGTCTTATTTTAATTATTCTTAAATGCGTTCATCATGCGTTTAACTAATGCATCTATCTTGAAGGAGCTGGGTATAAAGACGCGTCTCTCTTCCTAAAATACTTCGGTCACGTAGCAAGGAGCAGCCCAGATAATTTTGAAAAGCTTCTGGTCGTGGGAAACGTGGAAGGCAAGAGGAGTAGGGGCAGGTCTCCATCCCGGTGGTTGGACATAGTTAAAGAAACTAAACGAATGGCAACTTACAGGCGTCGATCCGCCTTGCAGAACACAGAACGGTCTGGAGATCGTTGGTGAAATGTGCTGTCCTGAAAGGTCACGACCCTCAGCCAGGAGGAAACGACGATGAAGAAGAAATGCGTTCATAGTGGATATTGTGAAATAAATTTGGTGTGGTTTTGTGTTACAACCATCTGCGCAACTGAAGAATTAGTGGAATCTTTAAAATATACGCTATTCCGGTCAAGTAGACGTGAGAAATTTATTGTAGTGTTGACTACCTCGCAGAAGCTTATCGAAAAAACCAACTCGATGCATTTCGTGCCAAACACTCCAAGAAACATTAGAATGCGTCTCACCGACATTCTAATGTAAATAAAAAAAGAATATTAACATTTGTATTTTTGTATACGATTGAAGGACTTGTATCCAAGGTCGATCTAGAACGGCTGCGTAGTGGCAACATGGGACACACTTTAATAACACGCGTACATAAAACACGAAAATAATCAAAGATTAGACAGATGCACTCGGATTACAATATATGACAAGTACGCCGGCGGTATCTAGTTGAGCGAAGCGAGACCAATCATTTATCTATGTTTGTACACTTAAATTTATTTACTGACATTACCTTTCCTCCTACAGGTAGACCACATAATCTGGCCGAACGGCAAGCGCATAGTATTACTAGCGGAAGGCAGGCTCGCCAACTTGTGTTGTTCGTCGCTGCCCTCGTTCGTGGTGTCGGTGACGGCGGCCACTCAAGCTCTGGCGCTCATAGAGCTGTACAACGCGCCGCAGAACCGGTATAAGGTGAGATTGTAATGTCTACCACTTTTACAGTGTCTTTCTCCCCCATTTTCGATCTTTGTTTGTTAATTTTCCCACTGTATTTGAATTTTGTACCCAAAATTTCCATGTTTCTTTGTGAATTTCTCACACCTTTGAGAGTCTTTCTCCATTTTTAGTGTCTTTCTCCCTTTTAAGTGTTTTTCTCCCTTCTTAGTGTCTTTCTCCCTTCTTAGTGTCTTTCTCCCTTCTTAGTGTGTCTCTCCCCTCGATAAGTATCTTTCTCCCTGTCTTGGCCTCTAACCCTAGGGCAATCGCATAGTATTACTAGCGGAAGGTAGGTTCGCGAACTTGTGTTGTTCGTCGCTGCCCTCGTTCGTGGTATCGGTGACGGCGGCCACTCAAGCTCTGGCGCTCATAGAGCTGTACTACGCGCCGCAGAACCGGTATAAGGTGAGATTGTAATGTCTACCATTCTCCCCCATTTTCGATCTTTGTTTGTTATTTTCCCACTTTATATGAATTTTGTACCCAACATTTCCATGTTTCTTTGTGAATTACTCACCTTTGAGAGTCTTTGTCCATTTTTAGTGTCTTTCTCCCTTTTAAGTGTCTTTCTCCCTTCTTAGTGTGTCTCTCCCCTCGATAAGTGTCTTTTCTTCCTGTCTTGGTCTCTAACCCAACGGCAATCGCATAGTATTACTAGCGGAAGGCAGGCTCGCCAACTTGTGTTGTTCGTGATGTCGGTGACATTATATTGTCTACCACTTTTATAGTATCTTTCTCCACCGTTTTCCATCGTTGTTTGTGATTTTTTCCCCTTTGTCTGTGTGTTTCTACTCAATTTGCCATTTTTATTTGTCGATTCGATATAATATCTTCCTAGTGGATTTCGTCCTCATTTTTAGTGACTTTCTACCTCTATTAGTGTCTTTATCCCGCCTTTGCCTCTAATAGTCTCTTCCTAGTCCTTCCTTCTAGTCGCAGCAGACGGGACTCGAACCGTTTTTTTCTAGTAAAAAATTCTTTTGATTTAAACATCTAGCAGTTAAATGCTTACAAAAATATATACTTCAGACATCTTGTTCGACATTAATTTCCCTTATTCGACCGGTGTTTCGCTCGCTCCGCGTTAGGGTGTTAGTGCGTCGCTTGTGTTGTTCGTAGCTATCAGGTCGTATAAAATTAGAATATACTGTCCCCGGCTCTTTCTACTTCTTTAATAGTGTCTCTTTCCGGTAGTTTCCATCTTTCTATGTAAATCACATAGAAAAATGGAAAGTGAGTGCATATAATATCATAATATTATTCATTATTTACTTTACCATACCTACTACACCCCCCCCTTCTTGTTCCTCTTATTTATTTATTTCACTGTCATGGGTTGCCTGGAAGAGATTGCTGTTTAGCAATAAGGCCGCCTATTGTGTACGTTTTCACTGTCATGTTTAATGTCTTGTATGTCCTGTGAGGTGTATGTCAATAAAGAATATTATTATTATTAATATATCTTTCCTTTTTAGTGTCTTTTCTCTTCTTATTGTCTCCACCCCCTTTATTTTTTTATTTCTCTTTTATTTTAGTGTCGTTGTCCTACCTATCTTCTCTTTATTGTCTCCAACCCTTTACCTATTAATTTGTCGTTCACTCTTTTATTATTTCATGATCTTTCTCTCTTTCCGCTATCCCTCGAGCCCGTCTCTCTTATTTTCTCCTCTCTTAGGAATAGTCTTCTTTGTCCCAATTCGTCCATTTGCATAATGGTTTCTGTGTTACTCTATTCTGCCTTTGTATTTCTCTACCCATTAAAATTTCTCACCGACTTTATCCTGCCTTTTTTAAGTTTTGTAAGTGATAGAAAATCATAGAACAAGTGATAAGAGATAAACAGTTTCACAGTATCTCACTTGTACTCTCTCTATATCATTCTTCCTGAGTGTATTCATCCATTATGGTTCCGTGTCTCTTAGGTCCTGTTGTTAGAAACATAGTTAAATTAGACTATAGTCATTGTCACATCAAACACATGGCAAATCTGTCAAATTTTGACAAATAGTTATATTCTCTCCAGTATTTTAAATATAGATGAAACAACGCGGTCTTAAACTAGCTTTTGAACCACCCACGCAGAAAGAAGGTGGCTATTTTAATTTTCATATGTTTACAATGTGACTTGAAATACTTCAGAGTTATGTTATGCCACCAATTTGAATACAATATATACCCTTATCACGAACCACTATCGAATAGTTAAATTTCAATGTCAAGAAGATTTGTATGGAAAGGACACCCGGCATTTTATGCCAAAGTTGTATACTTTTTTTTTAATTTTTTTATCTGTGTTTCATAATTGGGTAACGTAGTCTGGCAATATTTGTCATCAGCAGCTAGCTGTCAATGTCAAATACGTAGGTTTGTCTCGGTTTGTTTTTTCCACGATTCACTAAAAATAAGGCAAAAGTAGTTTTATGTAGCAAATAATTTTGGCTTTATTGTGAGACCAAATTCAACTGTATACAAAATTAGCATTTTTTCTTTGAAAAGTGCCGGGGCTCCTTTGAACAGCGCCACAGCGGACGTAAACTTCTTGACACTTGACGCGTGTCGACATCGAATTAGATTATTCGCATTCAATATTGGTGATTCATGCTAATGGTACAGAAGTTTTAAACATATAATTTTGTTCCCACCTAGGCTGATGTCTACCTGTTACCAAAGAAAATGGACGAATACGTGGCGAGTCTTCACTTGCCAACGTTCGATGCACATTTAACGGAGCTGACTGACGAGCAAGCTAAGTACCTAGGCCTCAACAAAGTAGGACCTTTTAAACCGAACTATTATAGGTACTAGCATAAACCCCGCTGAACGTCTATGTATATAGGTCCAAATGAGATCCAAACAATTTTTGTTGCAGTACCTATTTTGTAAAAAAAAGATTAAAAATAAAAATGTTCCAAATCCGAATACGAAACCGGGCAATTTTTCTAGGGCTGGGTGCATATACGCATGTACGGTGTCCTGATCAGGAATTCCGATTCGGAAACGCGAATCCACGTCCTTACATACAAAATGCTCAACAAGGTGCATACTATTTTTAATTTTTCCAAACAGTATATTTTGCATTATTTTATAAAAAAAAATGAATAACCGAAAAAAAATAAACATAAAAATATTCCAAATCCGAATACGAAACCGGGCAAATTTTCGAAGGCTGGGCGCTTATGTAGGGTTTTCTGATCAGGCATTCCGGAGTCGGTAATCTCAATGCATGTCCTTACATACAAAATGTTCAACTACAGTCCATCAAATTTAAGAAGTACCGTTTGACGTTTCATGTTTTTCAAACAGATATAACTTTGTTTAAGCGTAACTTATTCAAATTCGATAACCTTTTTCGTAAAACCATGAATTTATAAAGGTTTTATTATTGGATCTAAAAATGTACAATTCTTAATATCTAAATTTAATTGAAAACTTTCAAACAATGCAAAATAAACAATATTTACACAATAAATAAGTTCTAATAGTTCTATTCTTGACCTCATTGCAAAGTCACATAGTTAGGTCACTGCTCGTAGTGTTGCGACTCTTCGGAATCAATTGTGTACGAAAAAATCGTGTACATTATTCGGAAAATCGAATTTATTACTTTCAAATTATCAATTAACGACTTTGTAAAAATACATGACAGATGACAAAATGATCAAATTTGATGCCTCGGTCCATAATCTACTCAGATTACGATGTTGTAAGCGCTAGAAGCGCTTATGGCCAATGTCAGACCACGGCCAGAAAGCGAATTTTCGACGTAATGTTTAGGGGTAGAGCGCAATTTAATTTTTGTATAATTTCACGTTACTGCTCGATCGCATAATGCATTTAATACATAGGTACCCTAAAATAATTTAATTTAATTATTTTCAAACAAATCTATATAGGCGAAATAGCTCCAGAAAAAAATATTTTTTTATCAGACAACACTGCCGACCACGATCGCACGCGGTCCCCCTCGCCCGCGTCAGCAGTCTCTCGCCATCTTGGAAGCTGACTGTGCGCGTACCTACTTTCTCGTTTGTGTTTTACAATTTGTGACTTGGCTATTACTTTTCTGGACTCTGAACTAAGCAAGTGTTTATTAATAATGTCGAAAAGAGGACGTACTTTGAACAGCCAGGCTCGTGAATTGGTGGTGAAATTACACGAGTATTTTGAGCGTGAATGTCAAAATGGTGGAGCTCTACTGCCAGTTACACAAGTTCGGGATCGCGTCGGTGAAGCTCTCGGTATTGGTAGCCGCACCGTCGGCAAAATATTAAGCGAAAAATATGGGCCTTCGGGGAGTGACAGTAACGTACTTCACACGCCGAAAAAAAGGAAAAGAACTAAACCTGTGACAGGTATCGATGACTTCGATACCCATGCTATTAGAAACCATATCTATGGTTATTTTACAAGAGGCGAATTTCCAACATTGGCAAAGTTATGTGCAACTTTAGAAGATGCCGGGCTGTACAAGGGAAGCATAGAGTCGTTGAGAACGATAATAACAGGAATTGGCTTCAGATACAAAAAAGTTGACAAACGAAAAATTGTTATGGAGCGACATGACATAATTATGCAGCGACTAACATTCCTGCGCGAAGTAAAACAAATTATAAACTGGGATAATGTAATATTTTTGGACGAAACATGGCTAAATTCCAACCACTCTGTGCCGAAAACATGGACAGATGATTCTGAAGCTTCGTGCTCGAAAGTGCCGATAGGGAAAGGTGGACGCCTCATTATATGCCATGCTGGATCAGCGTCTGCAGGTTTCGTGGAAAATTCATTATTAGCTTTCCAATCTAAAAGCACAAAAGAGTATCATGAAGAAATGGACGCGGAAAGGTTCCAAGAGTGGTTCTTAAATTTACTAACGAATATCCCTCCTAACAGCACAATTATAATGGATAATGCCCCATACCACTCTGTGCAAATTGATAAAGCACCAACATCAGCCAATAAGAAAGCAGATTTGGTGGCATGGCTGCAAAGAAAAGGAGTGGAAGCCGACATGTCACTATTAAAAGCTGAATTGTTACATTTAGTGAAATTGCATAAACCATCAAGACCGACTTATGCTATTGACCAATTAGCCGAAGAATACGGGCACAAAGTCATACGACTTCCTCCGTACCATTGCCAATATAATGCCATTGAACTGATTTGGGCCCAAGTTAAAGGTATAATATAATAATATTTTTTTGTAGTTGATTATATTATTAACAGAAACTTGTTCTTAATAAGCTGAAATATATTGTGAATTGAGATTTTCCGTTAAGTACAGTAATACTATAAAACATTACCCTTCTTCTTCGCAGTTGTGTAAATTGTACATTACCTAACAAAATATTGCAAGATTAGCTTAACACATTTTGTAGTCACATAACACGAGTGCCTCTAGCTTTTATAATTTAAAAAATAGTCAAAGTGTCCCACCTAATAATTATATAATTGTTTTACAGGTTATGCAGCAAGACACAACACAAAACCACCCTTCAGTGTCAAGAAAATGGAAGGCTTATTAAAGGAAGCATGTGCGCAAGTTACACAAGAAAATTGGTCAAAAGTAGTAGAAAAAACAAAGAAAATAATAATGGACGACTTCGACAGAGACGTAAAATTCGATGATTTCATGGATAATCAACTAGTCATTAATTTAAATGACGATGATGACGAGGACGACAATGATTCCAGTACTTGCAGTGAATAAAAAAATATCCTAAACATTACTTTTATTTAAATGCTTCGATTTCGACCTTTAGAACCATAAGATTTTTTCGGTATTCTATCCTCAGATTACTAGTAAAACCTAAATTTACCAATAAACAACCTTTTACAATAACTAATTAAGAGTACAGAGAAATATTATCTTAAATTTCGGATCTTATGGTCATTGATCTCTTAAAAATCGGATATTATAGTAATCGATCTCTTAAAAATATAGGAAAAGAGTACAGAGAAATATTATCTTAAATTTCGGATCTTATGGTCATTGATCTCTTAAAAATCGGATATTATAGTAATCGATCTCTTAAAATTCAGATATCATAGTAATCGAATTTTTAAAACCCATCCCTATTATTCAATTTGTCAGAACTGTCAAACGGTACTTCTTAGATTTGATGGACTGTAGGTGCATACAATTAATAATTTTTTCAAACAATTTTGTTGCAGAGTTTTATAAAAAAAAGTTCCATATCCAAATACGAAATCGGGCAAATTTTCTAAGGCGCATATGTACCGCTTCCTTATCAAGAATTCCGATTCGGAAACCTGAATGCACGTCCTTACATACAACAAAATGTTCAAAGAGGCGCACACTATTCTAAAAAAATTCCGACAATTTATGTTGCAGTATTTTATAAAAAGATAAAAAAAAAGTTCCAATTCTGAATACGAACCGGCCAAATTTTCTAAGGCTGGGCGCATATGCACAGTTTCCTGGTCAGGAATTCCGATTCGGAAATTTTAATGTACGTCCATAAACTATTCTTAATTTCATCAGAATGGAAAAAATACCTAACGTTCGGTTCGGAAACTTAACTAATAAACTAACCGAGACTTCTGCGCTAGGCCCACGGGATTCCGAATCTGAATAAGCTATTTGACAGTATGAAAAATAAAGTACCAATTGTTGGCATCTGTATTCAAAATGAATATCAGAAGCGTTTGCACTATTCTGAGAGGACGAAAAATTAATAACTTTTCTTAGAAATCATTAAATAGAAATGATTTTTTTTTGTTCTATGGTCATGTGACCGAAAACGCTTGGGATTGGCGAAGACTAAATTTGAGTTTTGGAAATGACGTCACATTAGTAAACTTCCGTCAATCGCATAGTATTACATAAAGTGACATTACATTGCATCGTTTGACGTTTTAATGACAGTCGTGTGACCTACACACACACACACCAGTACAACGCCAAAATGTCCTGAGAAACGTTTTCGCGGTAATCTTAAATTTCGAAATTTTGATTTTTTTAGATTTTATTTTTTATTTTATAATATTTTTTTATTTGATTTTATAGAGTTTTTATTGAAATACACAACATATTGATGAATATCTATTTTTTATTGATTCCATAAACATTAGTAAATTATGTGAGATCCTTTTCTAAAACTTGTCAATACCCTATTCTTGACCAGGAAACCGTACTGCGCCCAGCCTTTATGTGTTTTTAATGTTCTTTTTGGTGCGTTATGGTCGTTTTAAGCTTATTACTCCGGTAGCCTTCCAGTCCAACGATTGAATCCAGCGCTCTAATTCTACTGGAATAATGCGAACCGGCTCTGGAATGTTCCCATTCCAGTGAATAATCCAGGAGCTCTATTTTTGAATCACTCGTCTGACATAGTATCGTCGAATGCGACATAAGTCACCTTCGACTCTTAGGCATTGTCCTAATACAACGCGATAACGCGAATGAGCGATGCGATCATCGTACGAGTCGACGATCAAACATATTGATCTAGAATAGGTGTCCTAAAAGGCGAACGCGCGATGCATTCGCGCGACTAAAATGTTTAAAAATCTATTCGCGGGAACTTAGTTCGCGCGAACGCGCAATCAAACCTATTAATGATAAATAGATGTCCTAACTGAAGTTCGCGCGATGATCGGGTCGCGTCGATAGGAAGCGGGGAGAGGGGCACTGCTAACCCGACCAAACTGTGTGTCAATCGTGATCGCGTATTCGCGACAACGTAGGACAAACAGTTCGCGATCACGCGATGGTCGCATTGTTTAAACGCGCGATGATCGCGTTATCGCGTTGTATTAGGACAATGCCTTAAGTCGCATGATACTGATTTTTCGTATTTTTGAATCGTTCGTCACCGATATTACCAGATTAATACATACTATAAAATTTTATTCATTACACGCAGAAAAAATGAAAAAATAAAAACCAGTAATTACCGCAAAGAAAACGGAACGAAAAAATCTTATTTCATGGCTGTATAATACGATTTTTTGTTGTTGTTTATTATTCCGGCACTTCAAATAGCTGTTCGTGATTACTGTTTGTAA